CGCTCCCAATACAGTGTTAAATGCTCAACATTTAAGTGGCTCTTCTGGAGTCTTTCTGGGTTTGACATCCTTTAGGAGGCCCATAAACATGGTTTGTGGCGTGGAGGCACAAACTCAAAGCTTTCTCTGAAGCTAAATCTGTCTATAGGAGTGAATTGAATCATGCCAAGGAGTGCTTCTGGCACTGCAACAAGGTAATTTACAGCAGTGAAGTGTGAGAATGCTCCTTGGCACAGCTTTGACACTTTTCAGCCATCACATTCCCCAGCACTCCCAAGCACGCTGTGGGGACCATCCCCAGTGCTGCATGCAGCCACCAGGTCCTGCAGACCAAGGTGTTCCTGTGCCAGCTGGCTTCAGAATCACAGAACTTTTCCATGCACACAGACTTAGCCTGTGAGACTCAAGAACTGCTGCAATTCTTTTCAGCCTAATTGGGCAGGTAGAGCTGCCAGTGTGGTAGGCGAGCAGAGGTACTCTTCTAAATTTCATAGACTCATGAAGGTTGGAAAAAACCACTAAAGGTCATTGAGTACAAGCACCACCATGCCTACTGACCGTGTCCCTGAATAGCATCATAGAATCATTAAGTTAGGAGAAGACCTCTAAGATTATCAAGTCCAACTGTCACCCAGACCCACTGTGCCCGCTTTGGAGGATGCCAAAACATACACAGCAGTCCCAGATTCAAACATCAGCACACTGAGGCTTCTTCACGGCTCTTCAAGGTTAGGAATTACCCTCTCTGCAGAAAACTGGGGCTCCCAAGAGCCCATCTGTGGGGTTGAGGAACAACCCTCCCACGATGTCCGTGACCTCATGAGTGTGGTTTGGTGACAGCGTGCCCACTTTTTCCATTTGGTAACACAACCTCAACACTCAAGAGCCTCATCTGCTCTGCAACGCTGTACGGTTCCCACCATCTTCTGAAAGGAAAAGATTTCCATTCCAGTCTTTAAACACTCCCATGTGAGCTCCTCTGCTGTGAGGCTGTTTCTGTGCCTGTCTGGCATCAGATCAGTTCTCTTGACGCTCTTCTGGATTTGTTGTATGTATTGTACTACATGCCAGAGACACGATACATGTGATGTACATCTCCGTGAATTCCTTTAACGTTCCTCTGAATATCGAACAGCACAGCTCCAATGGCTGTTCGTTTGACAATAAAACAAAGGTTTTAATATTTAGCAGATTATTTAAGTCTCTCACCAGCTGTGACATGAACATGGTCCTGTTGTAAATTAGGATCTATGCTGGAAAAGAACTTTATTAGCTAGGACACAACAATTTTAGCAGTGGGAGAGAACAGTGTGATGGGTTATGTGGCTTAATACTCCATTACTGAAATAATCTCTTTATACAGTATTTTTTCTTTCAGGATGTGATCAGGACTGGCCCAACTCATTTGAAGGAGTCCCTCAGTGCCACATTTCCACATTTCTTGAATACCTCCAGCAAGTGAGCCCACCACCTCCCTATGCAGCCTGTTCCAGTTCCAGACCACCCTTTTGAAGAAGGAATTGTTCCTAACATCCATCTTGTCCATGCTTAGCTGGGCACGTTCAGCCTTGGAATGCATGGTGAAGTTGCTATCCCTGGAGGTGTTCAAGAAATGTGGAGATCATAGAATCATAGAATCACCAAGGTTGGAAAAGACCTAAAAGATCGTCCAGTCCAACCGTTCACCTATTCCCAACAGCTCCCACTAAACCACGTCCCTCAACACAACATCCAGCCTTTCCTTGAACACCCCCAGGCTCGGTGACTCCACCACCTCCCTGGGCAGCCCACTCCAGTGCCCAGGATGTGTCCAGATGTTCCAGTGTCCAGAGATGTGGCCCTTAAGGACATGCATGATTTGTGGGCACAGTAGGGATGGGTTGGACTTGGTGATCTGAGAGGTGTTCTTCAACTTGAATGACTCCATGACTCTGCGCTGTCTTTACAATGAACATTATGGCATTTTCTTCAGGAAGTCTTTTTTTGCTGGTCATGGAACTTGCTTGAATACAGCCAGGAAAACTGATCCTCTTTGACTCATCCCCTGTAACTGTTCTTAGCAATACTGCGAAGATGGGATATAATTTGCTGCTCTAGCAGAAAAGGGAAATCAGAAATTCCTGAAGCGGATGCTAATGCTACTGCTTTTGATGTGCGGCCAGTCCTGAATCAGAGACTGCTCAATTGATTTGCCTCTTACTTACCTTAATCCTTCATGTAAATGGATGTTGTCACCACATAATCGATCCATCTCATCAGAGGGTGAGAGGATCATCCCTTCAGATTGCTGAGGCCTTCTCTTCCATGGCTCCCAGGCAGTGTTCCACATTTCTTCCCATCTGTGGTTCAGCTGTTTCTGGACTAGACTGTAGCCCTTTGTGAAGTACCAACCAGACCAGGCTTTTCTTCCATGCCTGATGGGCAGGGGAAGGGCTGGCTGAGCATGTGTTAGACTGGGACCCTTTTAAAGATATTCTTACAGAGGGAAGATGCAACTCTACAACCACTACAACTGGCAGAGGTTGTAAAGGGCAGTGTGACGCTTGATAATATTTTTAACATGCTTCAGTTGGCTTTAAGCCAAACTGTCACAAACAGTTCAGGTACATTTGCTATGGAGAAAATGCATGACATGAAGTCCCGAAGACATCTGGAAGTGGGGGTATGGTTCAATGAATCCTTCTGGACTTCAAACTGGAGATGTTCCATTCATGCCTTTCCAGAACAGCGCTGACACCAATTCACAGTGTGATGTGTAGAGCTGCTAGTGGTGACACAAGTCCAGCTGGAAGACACCCGCTGGGGGTGTGCCTCAAGGGTTGTCACTGGAGCCACAACTATTTAGGATCTTCAGTAATGATTTAGATGAAAGGAGAGCATTCACCCCCAATGAGTGCAAAACTGTGAGAGCAGCAGATACACCAGATGGTTGGAGTGCCATTAGAGGGACCTTGGCAGACCTTACCAAACTGGTTGGTGTCCCATCCCTGGAGACAGCCAAGGTGAGGCTGAACGGGGATCTGAGTGCCTGATCCAGCTGTAGGTGCCCCTGCTCACTGCAGGGAATTGGACTAGATGGCCTTTAAAGGTCCCTTCCAACTCAAACAATCCCGAATCTTTCTCAGTGCCATGCCACCTAGAGAACGAAGGAAAGGCTGTGGGTATTATCTGCCTAGATTTTGGTACAGCCTTTGTCTCTGTCTCCCATGGTATTCCCCTGAAGAAGTTGGCAGATGGGAGTCACCGTCCCTGGAGGTGTTCCAGAACCACAGAGACGTGGCACTGAGGGACACGGTCAGTGGGTGTAATGAGATGGGCTGGGGTTGGTGATGTCAGAGGACTTTTCCAACCTGAAAGATCCTATGATTCTATCCAGCGAAAGGGCCAGATGCACTTTTATAGTTAGGAGAACAATTTCGGTCTATTTCAGCCTACATAAACATAAGGATGTAAATTTTCCACTCCTACCGATTAGCAGCGTGCCCTTTGGCTGGCCAAAATCTGCTTTCCTGAGTTTCAGATCCTTTTTGGCTCATTCGTCATCAATTCCAACAGAACGGGACTGGCAGCCTAACAATGTACTGACATTATTTTAGCACTCAGTTTTGGCTCTCTTATCCTCTTACTAACACACTGCTCCAGGGATTGAGAGGAAGTAAAATTGGGCAAGTTATTCACTTGATCTCCTATTTACCCTATTTTTCTATATTCAGAATCAGGATGAACATCATAGCGGAGGAAAAACAAGATAATAACATGCAGCACTTCCACGTAGAGCATTATTCCCAGCAAAGATGGTGGGTAAGAAAATGACATACAGTGACAGTATGACAGTACAAAATAGGAGGACAGGGACTGAGGCATGTTGGCTCTTTCCTTTCTCCAGGAAATTCCTTAAGATTGGTGCCATGTGCTGCAATCTGTCCCCTTCCCTAAGCCAAAGGATTTCTGCAAGGTGCCTTGGCAGACCCAGGGATAAATCTTTACTGGAAGGATCACCGAAAGACAAACTGATCTCCAACAGGAGATGCACACTTACCTCAATCTTATTTTTAAGTTGATGGCAGAATTATAATAAAAAGCCACCCCAAAATTACCCAAAGTGAATTTCAGCACATGTAGCTTTGAAGTGTTTTCAGCAATCGAAAATACGAAGAAATATAGATTTAATTACCAAAAAAAAAAAAAATTCACAATAATTTCCAATTAATGTATCTGATAAGATGTAAAAGAAACCCCAACAATCAGAAACACGGGATTGATCGCCATTAATGCTCTGCGTACAAGGAAAAACATGCTCAAAAATGCTGGAAATTTGTTCTGCTGGAGGGAGACGCTGAACATCTGGCTGTTCCTGAGAAAAGCAAAAGGGCTCCCTCTGGAGTGGATTCCGAAATCAACACAGGACTCAGATTTTAATAGGTGGGCAGCAGAAATGAAAATCAGTAACAAAGCAAACGCGTTCTTGCCTCTTGTTGGTTTGCTCATCCTGCGCACAGTGAGCACAGCAGACTAATTCAAGCAGACTAAACCATGATTGAGAGATATGGATCCATGCCTAGAATATTAAGTCATTAATTAGTTTTCATGCATGGGCTTGTATGTGGCAAAGAGGCAAATCAAGGATACCTGAAGAGACAAGAAAGCTTTCCTAGCGAGGAAAACACTCCAAGGAGTTGCCAAGAAAACACATTACAAAGCCAGCTGAGAATCCAAATTTTCAACCCTGGATGGTCATGCACAATTCTATGAAAACCCAACATGGCCACCGCTTGCGTGCTCACAGCAATCAACTTCATTTGAAAGGGAGAGAGGAAAAGCTTTATGGATGTACACAAAACCATGCTCTGCTGAATAATCACGGGGGTTGCTTTCAAACTCACCCGTGATGAAGACCCTCCCATTCCCGTGGCTTATTTGCATACAAGCCAGTGAACAGAAATTTGTATTTTCATGCAGAAAGAAGAAAAAAGATCACCTACAAACTGAAGTCAACTTACTGCCTGTTTTTGCTCTTCTTCCTATAATGGTTGGCAAAAGATAAAGGTGAAGAAAGAAACAGGACAGATTAATTACCACGTTACAAGGGAACACGCATGCACATAATATACAACAGATCCAATGAAGGAGGAGAACGTGGCAAACTGTAGGAACATCCGCAGTCACAAACAGAAACAATCAAGTTGGGTTAAGAGCTACATGGGAATGTAAAGGTGTAATCTGTCCCATTTTAAAAGATTACTTTTGTCTAAATGGCCATTGGTGTTTGGGAACATTGGAAACATGGAATGCAGATCACTGTGGGCTAGGACTCTCTTCCTGTCCCAGACTCAGAAACGACTCTCCAGATGTCTTCAAGACAACCTTGCTTTCAGACTGAAAAGCTTGCCAATGCCACTTGAGGTGTGCAATCAATGCACTGCTTCTGGTTCCCTGCCATCACGAAGACTGAAAGTGTCATAACCTGAGAGGCAAAGTATCACCTTTCTGATCATGGAGTGAGCACTGGGCCTGCAGTGAGCTCTGCAGATTGGGTTTCAAAAGGGCAAATTTATGCGAGGTGGGCTCTTTGGGCTTTTGAACTAAATCATACCTACAATGGGAGAAGAGAAACTGGGAGGCACTAGAATCAAAGATATAAAGTAGATACAAAGATGGAGAGAATGATATTGCTGTTGCAATTCAACTTTGATCAGTACAGAGCACGCTAATTTGAAAGACCAAAAATGGTGAAATATGGATGAATTTATGCTCTTTGAATCAGAGCAATGCATGCTATGACCCTTCTGAGCCAGTGGGATCACTCTCCAACATCAACCATACAAGCATTTCTCGTGCCACTGTGCAAAATCATAGCAATCACTGAAATATCACATAGTCAAGAGTTACTTTCTAAGTCAAATGCTTTCACACATTTTGTCCTTGCCTATATAAGAATGGGCTTCATAACAGTGGGTACACTGTGTTTGTTGCATGAGTTTGCTTCCACGGAGGAAGGCAGCAGCTGTGGGGGGGTAGCAACAGTGTGCATTAGAAGGAAAGGTTGGCAGTGGGTTTTTTTTTGTTTTGTTTGTTTGTTTGTTTGTGCAGAATCAGCATTTCCAGCTTTTTTTGAAGATAACAGCATGCATTCTCCCCAGTGGTGGCTTTGCACAAAGTGCAGAGAGCAGCAGGACTGCTCCCCAGTGCATCTCTCCAGAAAGCAGTTCATGCAATTAAAATGAATGGAATAGAAGTTGCTTCTGACCTTGAAAGGCTGGGATCCCTGTATCCCCCTTCTCTCATTTATGCCCTGACCACCCAGAGCCTGACCTCAAATTTAGATTGGGTTCTTCTCACCAACCACTACCCCAAAAGAAAGTGATGTGTTCCTGAGGGCACTGCAGAGATGTCTGGTAATGTATAACCACATAATCCCTCATTTCTGAGTGGATACTTTTGTTTTTTCTCCCAAGGTTTGGGATTCAGGTGCACATTTAAGTACTGATGCAGCAGAACTTGGTGCCCGTGAGCCATGAGCCCCACCAGCTGCTGGTGCCCCTCCCTTGCTCCCATGTTTCCAGTTGTTCCTTCTCCCAGCGCAAGGACTCACAGGACCAGATGGTGAGCCAGGACAGGGAAAAGATCTTAAACAACCTCCACTCTACAAAAAAAAAAAGTTGTTAGTTTGAAAAATGAGGCTTTAGTATTAACTACAGATGTGGAAAAAAAACAAAAGCCACACAAAAAAAACTTCTCAAGAAGTTGCAGTGCTGTGCAAGAAGAACCAAGCATTTGTAAGATAAATCATCAAATCAGCCAGTGAGGAAATTACCATTGAGGAAATAGAAAAAAGTGAAATGGGATCTGTCTGCTGAACATCCTCCTAGCTTAAGGCAAAAACCCTGCAAGAAGGCAGACAATCATCACCACTGACTGCTTATTACAAGAGTGCAGGCTAATGGCACTAGGTGATTACGTGAGACTTCAGGATAAAAATGGACAGCTAAGCCAATAGCCTGGATGAGGAAAAGAAGAGAAAAATGATTTGAACAGGGCAGCTGAGGGCACTGCGGGCAGATGAGAGGCAGGCAGGCTGCTGAAGAGTTGGACTCGATGATCCTTATGGGTCCCTTTCAATTTGGGGTAGAATCACAGAATCGCGGATTCACAGAATCATTGAGGTTAGAAAAGACCTCCAAGATCACAAAGTCCAATCCCAACCCATTCCCACCACGCTCACTGACCATGTCCCTCAGTGCCACATCCACCCTTTTCTTGAACACCTCCCTTGGCAGCTTGCTCCAATGCCTGAACGTTCTTTGGGATAAGAAATTTTTCCTAATACCCCACTTGGATACTCTATGAATCTATGGAACTGGTGCTGGTTGACATCTGGATGGAGCTTGGTGGTCATCTGGTGATGAGTGTCAATTTGAGGAACAAAACCTTGCCCTAAGGAACCCACAGTGCGCTTCAAGATGCATTGGACAGTGCAGCAAAACACCACTGCCAGCATTTAGAGAAGAGCTGAGTGCAACCAGAGCATGTACTGGACAATCCTCCAATACATCCCCACCATGGTGGAATCAAGTCCTTCCGATGATGCCAAGTCACTGTCTGTTCTTCTGTAGGCAGAAGAACAAGGAAAGATGTGGAGCTCTGTGTGAAGAGCAACCTGAAGCGCAGGCTGTAGCAGTGTGGGAAGATGGATTTCAGGTTGGATATTAGGAAACATTTCTTCTCCAAAAGAGCAGTGCTGCAGTGGCACAGCTGCCCAGCGAGGTGGTGGGGTCACCAAACCTGGAGGTGTTCAATGTGAAGAATGTGGAGATGTGGCACTGAGGGACGTGGGCAGGGGGCATGGTGGGGTGGGTTAACAGCTGGCCCATTCTGAGCATTACATTGAGTCAATTTTCAGTGTATAGAGGTCATAAGTGAGAATGAACAAAATGGCAGAGAGAAAAAAAAATCAGAAAAGGCGTAAAGGAATTCTGTGACAAATAATGCTGGAGAAATCATCAGGGCAGAGTGAAAACTCCCCCTTTTCATTTTAACTAACAGCACCCAGTGAAAACAAAGATGCCCAATATCAGTTAATCACCTTGTCTCCTCTGTATTTAATGAAAAAAACCAGATGAACCCACAGAGAACAACAATGCCTTTCCTCCCTTCCCTTTTACAGAGGGAGCTGGGATACCAGACATTCAAATAACCAAAGTTAAGATCAATCCAACTCTAAATGGTGAACTGAAGGCAGCATTAAAAATGCAGAAAATACTGTATAAGAAAATGGAAAAAAACATAAAAGCTTAACAGCTGATCTAAATTATAAATGAAAACTTTTAAGTGCGCCAAATGACAAGAGAAGATAAAACTTGAACTAAAAATTCATGTCTGACAGGGCTAAAACCACCAAAAAGGAGACTTTGAAATGAACACATACCAGAGGTGGTGTGCACTGCTTCTTGATAGCAAAGATGGTAACATTTTTAGTATAGGAGCAGGAATTACTGTTTCTTCTCTGTATTTGAGTAATAGGAGGATAAAGTGCCTCCCCCTGGGAGTCAGAGAAATGCTTTCCACCAATACTGAGAAAAGGTGTTAAAGAGGATCTGCTGGTGTCTTTAGATCAACAAGGCTGTAATTACATGAGTGGTTATCTTGTCCAGCCAAGGTAATCTTCAACAGACTCCAGAATACCAAGGATTGGGATGTGCTGTAGTACTCATACTCAAAAAGGAAGACAAGACAACTCATTAAGTGCAAACATCTTGCCTTGTCATTAATTCACTGAGGTGCTGATACAAGGCTCGAGTCGTAAGCAACACATGAAGCTTCATGGCTTTGCAGAAAAGAGGTCTTGCCAAATAAATCTGATTTTGTTGTTTGGATCATGTTACAAGTTTGACTTGTAAAGGAGCTGCACAGATGCAGTGTATCTCACTATGAGGGAACTTACTGGTGACACCCCATTAACCAGGTAGCACTGCTCACAACAAACAAGGCACATCAAGTGCAGCGAGAATGGGACAACTACAGATTTCAGAGAAAAGATTGAAAAGGGCCACCAGTGACATATCTGCAAAGGGAAAAACCAGGGACACCAAGAACTCCTTCATTTAATGGAGGGAGAACCCTATGGAATCATGGAATCATTAAGGTTGGAAAAGACCTCTAAGATCATCAAGTCCCACCGTAATGCAACACGTAAAACCAAGTAATGACAAAATGGCCACGGGCTCTTGGGATAACTCAGGTTGGAGGGGACCTCAGGAGGTCTCCGGTCCAATCTCCTCCCAGGACAGAATCAACTTCATCCCAGGCAGGTTGCTCAGGGCCCTGTCCAGTTGGGTTTCAGAAACCTCCAAGCATGGAGCTGGCACAGCCCCTCAGGGTTCCCCAGCATCCTCCTGGGGAAGCTCTTCCTCATCCCTCTCCCATTTCTCCCATTGCATACTGTATCTCTTAGATCAAAAACACTTTGAGTGAGGACAGTGTTTTCCCATTCGTTTTATAGAATGAGACCCGTGTCCAGTTTGAAGAATGCAAAGAAGAAACGCACAACAATATTTCAGAGTCTGGTGATGAACTGTGAGCTTAGCTCTGGCAGTAGGCTCTGAAAAGAATAATCAGAAATCCAAAGAATAACGTATGCTGTAGATTAGAACAACACCGAGTGATGAAACAGAGAGACCCAACCAACACTGGGTTGGTGCACTACTGCTTTGTGAAACACACTGCCATGCTTTGCCAAGAGGAGCTGCTATACAGCTGCTCTGCATATAATGCATTTTCCAATTACGCTCAGGAGAATGGAAACATCACCCACAACACCGTGCAGATTGTTACCAAATCTAACACTTCTCCAAAACCTTCCAATGCTCTTGGCATTTTAACTCCAAAAGCAGCATATGAGTCTGAAATATCACTGTCCATCTGCACCCATGTGCGGAGCCCACAACGAAATGACTTTTTGCAAACTCCTTCTATTCCTTATAAAGGTTTTATAAAGGTAAGACAGCAGTGCAGGAGTGTCAGAACAGGGAACCCCAGACTGTGCAGAGGATGCACTGCATTTCTGACTCCCAGTGCCTTACTTTGAGTAGCTTCATCAGCCCTTCGAGCTGCACCATCAGTTCCCTTCTGCTTTCCTGAAGCGCAGACATCCTCTGTTCCAGCTCATCCTTTCTCTGCCTGTTCAGGTGACGGGAGAGAATTCAGAAAAGAAACTGAGTATTTAGAAATTGAGGAAATTCACAGATAAAATCTGTTCTTTTTGTCACTTCCTACTGCTTTCAATTCATAAAAATACAGCAAAACACCGTACAACAGCCACAAATCCTATCCATAACAGTCTCTCCACTTACACTCTACAAATCTACAGTTAGCATCTTGGTTGTAGGAAGCCTTTTTATTCATTTTGTGTTTGCACATTTGGATTTTGTGTTGAGGGACATGGTTTAGTGAGTACTATTGGTGATAGGTGGATGGTTGGACTGGACGATCTTGAAGGTCTTTTCCAACCTTGGTGATTCTGTGATATTTTTTTCTTTCCAGAGGGCTGTATTTTGAGAAAAAAAACCAACTTCCTTTTCAGAACACTCTGCACATCAGAGCCAGGCGTCCTGCAGAGCCTTCAGAATGAGCTATGGGAGGAAAGAAAGAAAGGAAAAGAGCAGAGAAGAGCAGAAAAGGCTGCAGATGTTTGGATCTATCACCTCTCTGGATGGAGGCTCGGCAGAGCTATTTCTGCCCAGCAGTGTCACATGCAGAGCCCAAAACCCACGGAGAAGAATAGGAGGCAATAAGTGTCTTTCCCTTTCCTTGGCATCAAAAAACCGCTGCACTTCTGCAGATGCCTATCTGGGGGAGATGTAAGGAAACGTGGCCATATGGTTCTGCTTTATATGTAAAAAAATAGTGGCTAATATAAAGGGAAATTCAAAGACAAACTGTCAACACGTGTCAGAAGTTCATTCTCTGATACGATTTAAGAAATGCCGGACCCCACAAATCACAGCCATAGGTATTAATAAATAACAGTAAGGAAAAACAGATGGGCACGGCTTCTCCGTTCACTCACAGTTATTTTTGTGAGTACCATAACGTCTCACTCCAGAGTTAAAGGCACCACGTACTGCAGACCGAATGTTTGGATGGTGTCTGTGTTCTTCCACAGTGCGCAATGGATACAGCATTCTGGGAATTCCAATAAACCAATCGGACATCAGAATCTGGAACTCAGACTGCATCAGTCCAGTGAGTGCAGCAAGCTTTTGTTATGGTGGCTGTGTCACACAGCAAGCACTCACCCCAGCCAGAAAGCTGTTCAGGTCACTTTATAGAATTCTTTCTGTACTGGTTCTTAAAAATACAGAAAACTATGAAGTATTTGCTATTTTAGGCATTTTTAAAATGTGTATTTTGGAGAACGTGGTTACTAAGTGCCCACACCTGTCACAAAAAGAAGGCAATAAGGAGATGGCAGAATACCCCAAGTTGGAGGGGCCCCATAAGGATCATCGAGTCCAACTGTGCTGTGATGGTACATTCATCATCACCTGAAATATGAGCACCTGATGGAGCTGTGGGTGTCCCTGTTCTCTGCAGGAGAGTGGGTATAAAGGGCCTTTAAAGGTCCTTTCCAACTCAAGCCATTCTATGACTCCACAAATACTGTAAAAATCAACATATTGAATATGTACAGCTCTCTCAATGCAGCTGTTAATTAAGAATCAACACCCATGTGTCCATCTGACTTCAGCTGACATTATCTGTTTTCTTTTTCGATGGCTTTTGGTGAAGAAAGAAGAGGAACTGCTTATCAATGACAAAAGATGTTCAGTGATATAAAACAAAAATGACAGCCCCCAGGGACATAAATGGAGAGATGCAGTCTGAGGCTCATGCCTGGAACAAACTGGTCATGGCACCTGTGTATAAATCAGCATCCTGAGCATTCGTAAGCAGAAGAAACAAAGAACATCAGGGCACTCATCCAAGGTTACATTTGCCAACAATGTGGTAGAGCTGACTCATGCCTACGGGCTGTGCTGTCTGCAGATTCTTCAACCTGGGACAAGCTGATTTTCCACAGATTAACGTTTTTGTGCTTTTGTAGCCTAAACTCTACACAGCAATTGAGACAATTTGGTAACGCGTGCTTCGATGAAATCAGGGGCAAAGTCAGCCCAGAAAAGGAGACAAAAGGTTTGGAAACAGCACTGGGCATGGGAAGGTCAGAAATAACACACAGACTTTTAGTCCTCTGAGCACAGACAGAGCACAGACACCAACTAGAAATCACATTAAGGTATCAAGGGAAATAGTGTCTCCTTCATCTCTAAAAGGGTAAATATGGGCACAGAAGGACATGGGCAGTGGGCATGGTGGGAAGGGTTGGGGTTGGACTTGGTGATCTTAGAGGTTTTTTCCCACATTAATGATTCTATTATTCTAAAATAAAAACTTGAGTGTCTGACGTGGATGCTTCAGCCATCAGGGAGGGCCTGGCAGGAGCACAACAGGGAATAAATTCTTACGCCATGTGATGCAGAAGGCCAGACTGAAAATCAGGATGGCTCTTGGCCGTTTGTGCATGCATTTTTCTGTGCAGTCACCCTTCTGTCCTTCAGTGTATCTCCTACGTGACGATTGCGTTCACAAACTTGAAAGCCAGAAGTGGCTGCAATGACCATTCAGGTTTTTCTGCTAACAAAATACAACTCAAATTCCTCCCAGTTAACTTTATTTTTGAAGAACACCTACAGAAAAACTCACTGCTCTTGTGATTATTGCCTCACTTCAGAAAACACGTGCTTTTATTGTGGTCTGAATGTGCCTTGTTTCCTGTTTAAGCTCTTGGTTCTTATTGCATCTTTTTCTGCTGGAGCAAACACACACCAAGCTGCCTCACAGTATCCGTTTCTGCAGCTCTTGCTTAATGTCTGTTGACATCTTCTGCATCCTCTCCAGTTCTTAAACATTTAAAGAATCTGTACATACCTACATGAAGCACATGAAGCTGAAAAATATCTGTGCTGCTGTCATTAGGAAAGAGGATGAAAATATCAGCAAGATGTGAGATATCAGCAAGATATGAGATGTGAAAAGCACTAAAATACAGCAGGATCTGTATGAAAAACTAACAAAAGAAGCTGAAATATTTATGTTTGCCAGCAAAGGACTTGAGTATACCATGCAGAAACTGTCTTGCAGGCTCCATTCCAAAAGCGTTACACTTTATGGAAAACCTACAATTGTGCCACTTCATAAATGGATAGAAAAAAAAAACCCAAAAAACAGCAAATGGAATACAGTGTAGTTTTCAGAGAGCTGTTGCTGCTTGGATTTTAGAACCTACTTTAGATTACGAACACAATTTTTGAAGGTTCGGCTCTGAATTAACTTGTAGCAGAAGATGAAATAAAATACAGCTAGAGAACACCCTTGTGACTACCCAAACTATGAAACACTTTATTCTATAAATACCGTCAATTTCTCCCTGTCACTTAAAAATGTGAACTTAAAGAAGCTTAGAAGATTGTTCACCAACTGTGGGTGTATGTCTGAATATTTGTAGGCAGGAACTTTCAGAGTTTCACTGATTAATCTCGCATTCATCTTCAACTCGACCCTTTTGAGCAGCACATAATAAGCAGTTAATACCATTTTTCTTCTCAGTTATTCTTCTTTGTAAACAGTTTTCTGAACTGTACAAAGAGAACCTGTGTTCAGAGACATTTCCATTTCCTTATAAATCCATTTCTAAAAGGGAAAATCGCAATACGCTGTCACTCTTTGGAACTCAGCAGCTCAAAGCAAAGCTTTGAGGTTACCAAAACCATGCTGATATTATGGAATCACAGAATCATAGAATCACAGAATCATAGAATCACCAAGGTTGGAAAAGACCTAAAAGCTCATCCAGTCCAACCGTTCACCTATTCCCAATAGCTCCCACTAAACCATGTCCCTCAACACAACATCCAGCCTTTCCTTGAACACCCCCAGGCTCGGTGATTCCACCACCTCCTTGGGCATCCATTCCAGTGCCTGACCACCCTTTCTGAAAAGTAATACTTCCTCATGTCCAACCTGAATCTCCCCTGCCATAGCTTGAAATCATTCAGGTCGGTCAAAGACCTCCAAGATCCCCAAGCCCAACCCACCCCCACGCTGCCCACGTCCCTCAGTGCCACATCCCCACATCTCTTGAATGCTTGTGCTGACGATGACTCCGCCACCCGCCTTCTGATGCCCTGATACGAGTCAGCAATCTGTGCCACCACCTGTGCCACAGAGCAGACCAGTCAGCCAAGTGCACACCACCTTGCAGCCATTTCTATTACCGCAGGAGCCGAAGCTCAGCCAGTAGCGTTGGGTTCTGCTGGGCTTTCTCTGGCGTGGGCTGTGAGGCTTGCTCGTGCTCCAGTCTCAGACGCTGGATTTCCTGCAGTATCTCTCTAGACAAATGAAAAGGGAAGATTACAGGGGAAGAGTGACCCTCTACACAGCTCTTAAAACACTGCTATAGCCCTTCAAGCACTCTTGCCATCACTCTTCAGTCTAAGCACAGCAATTTTGTTCGTGTATGACTGGCACAGATCTGAATCCAGGACAGGTACATTAGAACAGTCTTATGAATTGCTGTAATGCACATTGAAAATTTACTACTTAAGTTATAAGAAGTAGGAAATTGCTTGTGTGCTGTACGCTGGCAATGACTCTTCAAAACCCTTCAAGTTGAATGGCTGTAAGAGGCAGCCAAGCTGCTCTCCTTACACAGCACCTTAACATCACTGATTGAGATCTCCCTTATCGGGGATCTTGGTGAATAATTTCAAATACCTGCAGGCTCTCTTGAAAGTACAGCATTTGCTTTTTACCAACCCTCCAGGACCAGGACTCCTCTAAATGAACCCTATTACTGGCAGCTCCCAAGACCGTGGACAGGGTCGTCTGATCACAGCTATGAGGCCAACATGGCACTGGGACCCAACACAGTCTGCAGCTGCTGAGCAGCTTGCTTTTTAGAACAGTACCCTTTCGGTTTCTCTCAGGCAGAGAAACACGAACCCAAAATAGGGGTGCTGAAGAAGCAAGGAAGAGCAAATGCAGTATTACAGTAAAAATAGGGTTATTTCATCTTAATGATCCCTCTGGAACAAGAGGAGGAAACTACCTACGGCCCATCTCCTCTTTTTCCAGGCTTCCTAGTTTTCTCAGATCATGGAGTCATTCAGGTTGGAAAAGACCTCTCAGATCCCCAAGTCCAACTCCAACCCACCCCACCATGCCCACTGCCCACGTCCCTCAGTGCCACATGTCCACATCTCAAACACAGGGATGGTGACTACACCACTTCCCTGGGCAGCCTGTCCTGGATTCTCCTGTCTTCCAGGGAAAACAAAATACATAAAACAAATCCTCATTCCTCTCAAGTTATATGCATCCACCCTACCTGCTCCACCACTGGAGCATAACCTGGTTGGTTATCCTGCTGCCACATCAAGTTATCCAGCCATGGGGTTTGCTGGGCTGGAGTGCAGCAATACAGAGCTTCTGGTAATCAGTACTGACGAGTTTAAGGGGATTATTTAAGATCAGTTCAGAAGAACAACTTGCTTCCCAGGGAATAAAGGCACTGCAGCTGCATCAGCATTGAGCTCACTGGTTAATGAGGCAGCTGCGCCTTCCAACAAAAGATGTAGGAAAACAATCTGGTTGATAAAATACAAAAGGTTAAACACTACAAAGCAAAAACCCAAATGCTTTTTCTAAAACACCACCAATCAAAGCTTGTTTTTTACCTGTTTTTGTTTTCCAGCTCTGCTATCAGCTGTCTTTGCTGTTTGTTGGCATCGAAGTTGAAACCCAGGTCTGTGGGTGGGCGAGGCTGGTGGATGGAGAACAAAGGCAAATCAGCCACAGCACTCGTTACCTGCTAACCACATATGACACTGTTTGGATCCAGTCCCATATTTCCTGACTGACGCAGTGCAATACCAACAGCCCTGATGCAAAGCTATGCTGGGAAGGAACATTTGACCATGGTGCTTTTGGTGCTTTCCTTAGGTTCCACTTCTCCCCTTCTTCCAATTCATCATCTCAGAGGTGATACTGTGGTTAAATTAAGTCTTTCAGTGCCTTTATCTTTAGTGATTCTCTAGCTTCACTGTCTCTGTATGCTCAGCACACTTTTCACCAGCAGCTATCACCACCACTGAGAAAAGTACTGGGCATTTAAAGAGGAATCTGTGGTTTCTGGGAGAACCTACTGGCAGATGGGCTGTGAGATGAAGAAGCCAGATGCTCTGAATCCCAGAATCATTCAAGTTGGAAAAGACCTCTGAGAACACCAAATTCAACCCTAACCCATCCCCACCATGCCCACTGACCCCTGCCCCTCAGTGCCACATCCCTATGGTTCTTGAACACCTGCTTAGGTGGTCTCATATGACTCAAAGCTGTCCTGGTCATCACACACAAAAGATTCTCATTGGGAGAACTTGGAGATGGCTTCCATCACTGTAAATATACAGCAGATGGACGGAAGAGATGGGTATCAACCTCTGCTCCTGGGGAATGAATGGGAGGAGAGTGATTGAAGCAGGACAAAAGGGAGAGACACTCCTCAAACAGTTTCAAAGCTGATGCCCATGGTCTCTTCATCTCCTCCTGCCATCAAGACAAGCATAGGTCTGCTCCATTTGCAGCCTCTTGGCCTTCCCCTGAAGCACTTGGCTCTGCTGCAAACTAGGAGGCTGCCTATAACCAAACAATTCCATCCTCAACCTCTTTCTTCAGGAATCCTGTACGAAGCCTGAAATCACCCTCACGACCTGAAGTGCTCAAGTCCTCAGGAGAAAAGTCAACACTGTGGAGGAACTAAGCCCGTGCTGCTCGCTTCATCATCGGATGTTGAGAAGTCATTTGGAAACCTCACAGTGGATATTTTGCTTTCTTGTTTTCCTCAATGCTTTCCTAGGGTCAATTCAAAGTTTAAAGGTAACTCCAAAGTGCAGAGCTGTTGAGATTCAAAAGGACCTTCTGAGAGGGAATCATAGATTCATAGAATTGTTAAAGTTGGAAGGGAACTCTAAGATCATCAAACCCAACCCTTAACTTGTTACCATTCCCACTAAATCTAAGTATCCCACTCGCTAGTTTTATGTTTTTATTGCTGAGACAGTTAATGTAGAGTTTGTAAGAATAAATCATGTTAAAGTTACTTTCCTTACACCGTGACAATCAAATCCTATCTATAGGAGAGAAACCATTAACATCCTGCACTCTCACTTCAATGCTGCTGACATTCCCTTTACTCTTGAATTCCGTACAGCGGTTGCTTCAGATCTGCAGACTGTACCTCACTGTGACAAGCAGACAGCACTCTTGAGGACAAGACTAAAATACCAAATTATGTGAGAAATTCTAGAAATGGTTGGAAAAAAACAGGCTGCATTCTATTAAGTAGAGAGCAACTGCTCGTATTTACTTTAATCATGTCAACTGCATTGACACCTGAAGGCAGCAGTTTTGCAAAAAAAGGACCTGCAAATACGAGTGGTTTGCAAACCAGACAGAGTCAGTAATGTCACATTTTTGCAGAGCCACAGAGTCCTGAGAGAATTGGCTGATGTAGTCACCAAGCCACTCTCAACAATATCTGAAAAGTCACAGCAGTCAGGTAAAGCCCCTGGTGACTGGAGAAAAGGCAACGTCACATCCATGTCTAAGACAGGTAGGAAAGGTGATGCAGGGAACTACTGAACTGCCAGCCTCACCTCTGTGCTGGGCCAGATAATGGAGCAGATGCTCCTGGAGCTGTGCTAAGGCACATGGAAGACAGGGAGTTGCTACAGGAGAATCAGCATGACTTCACCGAGGGAAAGTCCTGGTTGACCAACCTATAGTGGCTTTTTATGATGGTGTCACTGCGCCAGTGGAAAAGGAAAGAGTTGCTGACATCATCTGTCTGGACTTCAGTGAGACCTTTGACACGGTACCCCACAGCATCCTGCTCTCCAAATTAGGAAGACGTGGATTCGATGGGTAGACTGTTCAATGGATGAGGAACTGGCTGTGAGATCGTTCCCAGAGAGCAGTGGTCAATGGCTCCATGCCCAGATAGAGATGAGTGATGAGTGGTGCCCCTCGGGGGTCAGTACTGGGACTGGTGCTCTTTGATGTCCTCATCAATGACATCAACAGTGGGATTTTGTGCATCCTCAGCAGTTTACGGATGACACCAAGCTGTGGGGTGCAGCTGACAAACCCAAGGGACAGGATGCTATACAGAGAGACCTAGACAGGCTGAACAGTTTGCCCAGGAAGACCTCATGAGGTTCAACAAAGCCAAATACAAGGTCTGCGCTGGTCATGACAACCCCCACTATCACCACTTTTGGGGGGCAAAAGGATTAAGCACAGCACTGGATCGGGTTGCCCAGAGATGTGGCAGATGCCCCATCATCAGAGACAGTTGAAGACAATATGCAAGGTCTAAAGACAGAAGAGAATAAACGAATAAGAGGAGACAACATAAAAAATCTGAAATACACAATGCTTACTGCCAAGAGAAAGCCATATATTATTCTTGATGTCCCCTGAGGCAAGAGAATGCAAACCAAGCAAGGAATAATTAAGTTAGGATTCAGGAAAATCGTTTTATCAGTAGATGAATTTTACAGATTGGCACAAATTGCCTCAATGTTCTCTATCTGGAATGGACTTCAATGCGTTGTGTTTTTTTTAAGTTACATGGCTAAATGTCTGCCCAGAGCTGAACTGACCTACAGATGGAGCATACCTGTTACTCCAAAACAGAGCAGCGCTGTAAACAGGAATGCCTCAGAACATTTTTTCCCTGAAAATAAGTCAATCTTCCTCTGCAACTCTCTCAGATATCCTATAACTCATCCTTCTATCGAATCTAAAGAGATAAGACTATTTTCTCTATTTTCAGGCTTGTGAACTTGATGGATGCAGTCTGAATAAACAGCTTCCTATCCCTCCTGTTTTGATTCATTTCTAACTTTATCCTTTCAAGCCAGAAAATCCTGACTCCCAGACACTTTTCTGCTCCCATCACTTCTCAGGCTCTTTGATGAGGCTTTCTCTTTACCTTTCCTTTTTTCTCCTTTATCATTCTTGTTACCGCTCCTCTTTCAGATTGATTTATAAACCTCCAAAAACCTGTGCAGCAAACCGTATTACTTCACAGAAACTGAAGAAATCCCTGACTATCACAACATCATTAACCAGGAACTAATTAAAGCCATGATCTTTGATTTATTTTTCTCCATTTCTTTCTATGGTGGGAAGTAGCATTTGCGTTCAGGTTGCATTTCTGGGTCACTTTTCCAGCAGTAGCTCAAGAATTGAAAATATCTGAAATGAAAATGTCTTATCAGTTACTCTGCTTGCAGGATGAGTAGTCTGAATCTTTCCTTGAGTCATTCCTTCCTTGAGTCATCATTGATCAATAATCCTCCAAACTGTCTTACAACCTACTCGAGACTTGCAACTATCTCCTCTGTAACAGGCAAGCATCCTGCTGCTGCAGCCCGTAAAGAAAAATACAGTGTCATAAGGAAGGGAGTGAACAGCTTAATGAAGCTTGGCTCAACTTTTGCAGCAATCCCAGGATGCTGACACTCTTCTGAAAGCAGCACACAGCACAGGGAGAGAAAGCTTTCTAATTAGTAGGAGATCATTTGAAAGTATGAGATACCATAGAATCACGAAATCTGTAAGGTTGGAAAAGGTTTGATCTGTAGGATCACCAAGTCCAACCTTCAAGCTATCCCCAGCACGCCCACCCACTCGCAGTATCATGGAATCACCAAGGTTGGAAAAGACTTCCAAGATCACCAGGTTCAGCCATCAACCCATCCCTACCGTGCCCACTCACAGAATCACCAAGGTTGGAAAAGACCTCCAAGATCATCAAGACCAATTGCTGACCCGCACCACCACGGCCACCCCCATCCAAAGGTGCAGATACCCGTTTGGGTTTCATTCTGGACAGCTTTCTTCAGTGAGTGAATTTCTACAGAGCACAGGAAAGGAAACTTGTCCTTTGTGGCTTTCCTTGTCGGTGAGGAGTGAAAATCCCACAAAGATGATAACCCCAACTATTAGGGCATAGAAGCCCCGTTGGACATGGCTCACCACTTCTGAACACAGGATGCTAAGGCAACAATACAGCATGGCAGATCCATGCAGAAACAATCTGCAGAGTTCATTCAGAGTAAGAAGACTCAGAAGTACAGTGGGGCTTGAAAAGTAAAAAGTCTTTTGATACACTGAATCATAACACAGCTCTCCTGTTTCATACCAAACAGCGGTAAGACCAAAGCCAAAGCTTTTCAAGCTGAAGACTGCTATTTTTAAAAGGAAAATGTTCAACAAAAAAAAGTTTAAAAGCTATGCAAACACTCTAATGTGGCTGAAAGTACAATTGCCATTATTTTCTGCTTTTCTCGTGCTCAGTGTGAATGCTGAAACCTTGAAAGTTCTGAGATCACCCAAATGGTAAGCTCTATCCTCTCCAAGAAATGAAATCTATAAGAAATGGATATAAAATCTACTCTGAATCCTTCATATCATGTACAGGAACAGTGAAACCTCCCAGTACTGCGCTTCAGTTTTTCTATGGCAGGGCATTAAGCTTGAGAGATGCCACGCCAGATCTCTAAGCTGGACTGGGATTCACCATAAGGAACTACAGTATACTTTTTTGGGTGTAAGCAGAGGATTTAATTACACTTTTTAATCAAGTTCCAAAAAAAGGCAGTTTGGTGAGCAGTTGCACTCCTCCATCAGCTGGATGTGGAAGAACCTGTCAAAACCCACGAAAGCTTCCCGTGGGCATCAGCTTCCCGTTTCCCTGCTGTAAGGACTGCACTGTTTGATGGAAGACTGGAGCAGTATTTCAGCTCTTCACCACTGCAGTCTCACAGTGTTTTTTATAATCAAGGCAGAGAAGAAGAAACAACAAAAAAATTGTTCATGTGATTCCTGTGCACAGAAGATCCAAGAATGAAGCTGCAGATTTAACCTGAAAAGATGTGTGACAGCAAATCTGATTTACTTGCTCGTTACTTATTTAAAAAAACATGTACGAAATATTACCTAATGCCTGAAAAAAGAAGAATTAGTTAAGGAGAATATTACAAACGTTATTTAGGTTGTAGGTACAGGAGCTTTAATGAGATGAGATGATGACAGGCTTTCAGTAGCGCTTAATGTTGAGAGAAGAAGGCAACCACACACTGTTTTCAAAAAAGAGCAGCGTGGGCAAGAACCTAATTATTGCTAACTCATCCACATAACTCAACCTAGTTAGCCACTCATCCATAATTGAGTATTTTCTCCTACTTATTAGGAGCTCGTGCTTTTCTCTGTAGCGAGGTCAGCAGAGCCCTGCCAGGAGCATGCTGGTGATCCCCCAAGAAGCATCGAGCCCAACTGTGTCCTCATACAGCGCCATCCAAACCCAAACTCCATGTCTAAGAGTGAAGTCCCAAAGCTCCCTGAGCTCCGGCAGCACGGGGCCGTGCCCACTGTCCTGGCAGCTGTTCCATGTCCACCATCCTCTGGGAAAAAGTCTTTCCCCAACTCCCTCTTGACCTTGGAAGATTTATGTGAAGTTTGTTGTTCTTCCTGTTGATTTCTTCACTTTATTCCCCTTGTCACCTTCTGCTTTTCTCCCTTTTGCTTTCCACCTTCTCAGTCTACCTCTAACGCACAGCGCTCTGCTTGACTGAACTGGAAAGCCCAAGTGTAGCCTTGAGCAACATGAACTCAGTAAAAAGGAATCTGTCCTCTGAAGACTGGCTTGAAGAAAACAAGAGCAACCCAGTCAAAGCTTCTTCTGAGTGAACACATACTGGACTGATGCCTACCGGGGTGTAATTGCACTGGTTGCGTGCCATGAGCCTCCGCTGCACTAGTAAGTAAATTACATGTATCGGGTGACAGATGATGCATTCTCCTTTATTCTCCTCTCTGCCCATTCATTTTTCTTCTCTAAGAAGAAACAGACTTGGATTTCAAGAATTAACTCTGAGATCCGCCTCAAATTATTTTGGCCCAGTAAGACTTCAAGCAAAAACGGTTCCCCTAAAAAACATTAATGGAATGTATTTGTATTCATATTACAAGTGACATTTATTATAGTAACTAGCCTGCAGAAGGCAGCTTTAACATTTTATCTAATTTGAGAAAAAGCAGAAGCTGATGGACTGGGTCAGATCCATCACCACGTTGTCCACTGTACAATTTCCAGATGCGATCACTGTCAGCCACTTCAAAGAGGAGAATAAGCAACCGTGCCTCAGGCTGTTGCAGCATGAACAGCCTCTGCATCTGGAGCCCTCTTAATTTCCAGCAGCCAATGCAAAAAAATAAAGAGTATTATGTCAGAGAAGTAGGGCTGGAGAGGACATCAAGGAACACTTTTGTTCACATCAGTGTATCGCCAGTATTTCCAGCAGAACCAAGACTGGTCCGTCTTGACGGCACTTTGGTCCCACTCCCTACTTTCATTAAGATTCACATTCACACAGAAATTCAGGCGAGGAAGGATCTCTGAAGGTTTCTAGTCCAATTCATGGCATGTTGCTGTAGACCTCTTCCAGATGAGCTCTGAGAATCTCCAAGGATAAGATTCCACTTCTCCAATGCACAGCCTCTTCCAGGATCTGACCATCATCGTGGTGAAATGCTTTTCTTAAATACATCATTAGAATTTCCTTCTAGCAACTTCTGCCTCTTGCTTTTTGTCATGAACAATGATTATGTTTCTTTCACTGGATCACTGAATGGGTGCTGGATTGGTGCTGTCCTCTGACTACTCTGGCACAGTTATCTGCTATAGAGAACATTTTACATTCAGCAGTAAAGACTGACACAAACAACTCTTCGCTTTGGTCTTACCATCCCTGACTACTCTGAAATATCTTAAGAGCCCTGCTGACTGGTTAGTATCCAACCTTCGATGGTACTGAAAACCTTTTTGCTATGGATTTCAGACACCTTTGGATTGTGCTCTTCCAGTTCCCCTCCTGTCTCTGATGAGTTTCTGGTTAACATTTAACCAGCCACGTTTATGGGCTTCTTGTTCTTTTCATCTGGGCAAGTTCTCCATTTCCTGAATGCCAATCTTAGGACATCCCCTTAGCTTTCTTATTAACCCAGAAAAAGAACTGCTTATACGGTTCTGTTTTCTTTTTGCTGCTTCTCTGGGCTTCTACTAGAGCATTCTGAATGGCTTTCACACATCTGATAGGTTTCCTGTTTTTCAGACTGCTCATTTCAGGGTCTATTCTGATTGTCTCATTTTTACATAGCTCTCCTTGTTGAAACTGAGCATCTGCATCCTGGATTTACTTGGTGAGCTCCCTCCTGCTGCTAAACCCACACGTGTGATGGTTGCTCCTACTGACCAGCGGACGCTGCCAACACCACATGAGCTCATCCTGGTGCACCACTCGGCAACAAATCCCAGAGAGATTCTTTTTGTAGACTATAAAACAAGTTGTTCACGGAAATGCCATTTATTGCACCCAAATGAGCTTTTGCCTTTCCCTCTGAAAAGGCTCTGATTTAGCCTCTATGTGGGTAGCTGAAACCTCCCACTGTTACTTACCTGTCCTGCATTATTATAATGTAATCAGGGGTCAGAACTTCTTTTTTATCACTAAGAATCTGCAGTTTCAGCTCACAAGGATTCTGCAGCTCTTCTCTTTTTCTGTGATATTTTTGAGCTGTCACACTGCTTCTTTCCCCTACATATAACATCAGTTCCTTGCCTGCGTGTCCTACTGGATCATGCCTGTAAAGCTGGCAGCTGTAAAATCAATGAATGGCTGTCGGACTGGGGTTGTTGTTATTTCCCAGCCTTTTAGTTGCTCCCATCTCTTTTCTTTGATGTTATAAAAAGAATCTTAAAAGAAAAGAGTGCGGATGGAAAATCTCAGCCATTCCATGTCCCACACCATGAACCTTCCCCAGGATGCTCCTCCAGGGAGATCTCCCTTTGGCAAGAAATCATCAGAAGCTGCCATGATGCAGAGAGCATTTGAAAGAAGACCTAAAAATCTGATTTCTTCAAGTAATGCAAAGTATGTCCCTTCTGGCTGTTCAGTAATTTTTGGCTGTGAACAAAACACTGGACTCAGTAAAGAACGTTAAGTTCCTTGCTATTAAGCTCTGGGCACAAAGGAAACACCATACAATTATTCTTACATTCTTCTTTCACCTCCAGACTTCAGTCCCCAGCAGTGCTTTGTCATCACTCTACTAGATAACATAGGGAATGACAGAATGGATTGATGGAATGATGGAAAGAAGGAGCAGTTTTTCAAAGGACTTTGAAAAGTCTCCATAAGCTCTAAATGTTGTTTCCTTTACATCCAAAGAAGCCACCTCATTTTTGATCTACAAAGTACACACAAACAGGTCGAGGTGATCTACAAATTTTTAAATGGTTGTGATCTTTCAGACCCATAATGCCACACTTCAGTTTTCATTAGTATGACCAAAAAAAAAAAGTAAGAATTCTTCCACCATTGGCCAGAGTGAGAGCAATTCATCACAAATTTCCAGCAATACGTAATGAAATGATGAAGAAGATACTGACTTAGCATACTTATAAACATACAAATGCTTCCCTTCCTTTCTTTCAGGCTCTTTCTCTATGCATAAACATGACATATGCTTCACAATTTCTTTTCCTTGGGTACCTGCATACTTCTTCCTTCTGCAGACAGGGAGGACTGTCTTGTGCACTCTGTCATCTCCCTTGACCTGTCTCGTGGTGGTCAACCACGTCAACCATAAGGTCCACCACTGATCAGCCATGGTCAACTGCTGGTCAACTCTTGGTCAACCAGGACCCTGAGGTCCTTTTCTGCAGAGCTCCTCTTCAGCAGCTCAGCCCCTAACCTGTACTGATGCGTGTGGTTATTCCTCCCCAGGTGCAGGACTTGACCCTTGCCCTTGTTGAACCTCATCAAGCTCCTCTCTGCCCAACTCTCAGCCTGTTTATCTCTCACTGGATGGCAGCACAGCCTTCTGGTGTGTCAGCCACTCCTCCCAGCTTTGAATCATTAGCAAACTCACTAAGGGTACATTCCACCCCTTCATTCAGTTCACTGATGAAGACTTTGAACAAGCTACTAATTAAGCTCTGACAAACACCTCCTGCACTGCACACCAAGCAAAGCAGAGAACACAGAGAGTGGGGCTGGCGCGTTTACTCACCGTGTTGCTGGCCTCAGCGGCCAGCCTGGCTGCGTAGCGGGCGATCAGGCGGTGCTCCTCATCCAGCCGGCCTGGGCTGTCCAGCACACTGTGGGGACAAGGACAATTATCAGCCCTGTGGGGACAGGCCACGGCTGAGATGTGCTCACAGCAAAGAGAGAAGCGATGTGAACAGCCTATAGCATGCTCTTTCTCATCCCTCTTCCAAGTGGGGGCTGCTCTGAGACTCTGCACCTCACAGCATTTCCTCCATGATTCATACACTCCGATTTTCAGTGATAAAAATAATTAATCTTTACTAATTAATAAATCTTTACTAATTAATAAAATAATCATAATCATAGAATCATGTAATTGTTAAAGTTGGAAAAGATCTCAGATCAAGTCCAACCATCAACGCATCACCACCATGCCCACTAAACCACGTCCCTAAAGAGAATCACAGAATCGTTAGGGTTGGAGAAGACCTCTAAGGTCATCAGGTCCAGAGGGAAGCTCCTGGCCTCAGGACAGCCAGTCACCAAACAACGGCAACTGAATGCCAGCACCGTGATCAGGCTTACACCCAGCCATGCCGGATGCAGCCGTGCAAGATGTGGTCCTCACACCTTGGACAGCATCAGGATGAACAACTCAGCAGCTGCTCGCTGCCTTACTGCTGCACAAAGGTTTTCAGCACGGTCTCCCTTTAACAGGGAGCCAGCCAATTAGTTATGTAAACCAAAACACGGTGAGCTGAAAACCAGCATTAGCATGGAAATGAGCAATGTGTTTCGTGCTGCACAGCCTTCCCAAAGCTGCACCGGGTGTTTGATGTGGGATTCACCAACACCTCGTGGGCAGCCGTAAATAACGTGCAGCCCTACCTGGGTGCATTTGTAACCACACAGCAGAAAACAGAGCACATAGATACATATCTAATGCACAACAACAGCTCCTTTCAGTCCCCATTTATATGAGATAATTTACATTCGTTTTAAGCTCAATTTCACAGATTTATGTTGATGTTTAAAGAATCACATCTACATTGTATAAATCACATTTATATAAAAACACAGATTTATTTTTATAATGCCAAATTGAACAAATTGAACTCTTCTGAGACTCAGAGTCTCAGAATTAAGGGAAGGAAAACAGAGCCTCCATTCCAGGCTTGACGATCTCCTTATAGGTCCTCACACTCATTTTCTGACTTTTTTCTTGATTAAAGAACAACAATTCTTTCCATTCCACTTTCTGAATTTCATACCGGTTTTGGTCAGATTTCCTCTGTAATTTAGCCTGGTTGAGTCTTCCTGATTTACAGGAACACAAACCATTCCATCCCCTCCATGTTTTCCATCATCTGCTAATTACTTTCCTAATTACTCTCTTAGTTCCTGGAACAATTATTTGTTCATACCTAAGTGAATTAGGAAATAACTACTGTCAATTTCTTACTTTCTTGGAGAAAAGTTGTAATTAAAAGATTTTAAAAAGCGTTTTGCGTTTGCTTTTAGACCAGAAGCACTGGTGCAGATTGGGAACACTGATGCAGCAGAATTTTGGAAAGGTAATGCTGGAGATTTCTGTGTCCTAAAAGCGTTGTGCCAAACTGGCAGCTCTGTGCTAGGTGCAGAGCACTGACAGTCAAACTGTAGGATCTCCCACCAACCCTTTGGAGACTCAGCCTGTTGATGACACCCTGGCAAAGCAGATGGAGAGGGCCAGTAAAGGCATACTCATGCTCTGTTGCCAAAAACTAACACAGAAATGAGCCCAGACAGCCAAATGACTGGCTAGGGCTGAGGGATGGGTAAAGGATGTAAGAGAAGATGACAGGGCACAGTGGCAGCTTGGTGATCTCAGGAATTCATCATGCAGAGACGTGGCAGGGGACAGCACACAAGGCTTGGTTTATTCTTCCAGCACTGAGTTGAAGGTGCAAAGAGTCAACCAGGATGAACTAGGCCCCAGGTTGTACCAGAGGTTTTGGTTGGATCTGATGGAGAATTTCTTCATGCAGAGCGAGGTGAGTTGGAGCTGCCTAGGGCAGTGGTGGAGTCCCCCCCTTGGAGGAACCAAAGAGATGTGTGGATGTGGCACTAAGGGAAAAGGCTTCACAGAACCACAGGGTTGGAAGGGTCCCCGAGTATCATCAACTTTCAAACCCCCTGCCACAGGCAGAGCCAACCTCCAGATCTGGTACTAGACCAGGCTGCCCAAGGCCCCATCCAACCTGGCCTTGAACACCTCCAGGGATGGGGCACCCACTGCCTCTCAGGCAGCTGTTCCAGCACCTCACCACTCTCTTGATAAAGTACTTCCCCCTGACATCCAATCCAAACCTTTCCTCTTTGAGCTTAAAACCACTCCTCCTTGTCCTGTCACTGTCTACCCTTGCAAAAAATTGATCCCCTTCCATTTTATAATGCCCTTTTAAATACTGGAAGGCTGCAATGAGGTCTCCTTGCAGCATTCTCTACTCCAGGCTGAACAAGCCCAGCTCCCTCAGCCTGTCTTCGTAGGGAGGTGCTCCAGTCCCCTGATCATCTTTGTGGCTCCTCTGGACCCTCTCCAGCAGCTCCCTGTCTTTCTTGTACTGGGGGCTCCAGACCTGCACACAGTGCTCCAGATGGGGCCTCACAAGAGCAGAGTAGATGGGGACAATCACCTCCCTGTCCCTGCTGGCCACCCCTCTGCTGATGGAGCCCAGGATACCAATTGCTTTCCAAGCTGCAAGAGCACACTGCTGGCTCATGTTAAGTTTTTCATCCACTGGGAAACCCAGGTCCTTGTCTGCAGGGCTGCTCTCAAGGAGTTCTTTTCCCAGTCTGTATTCATATCTGGAATTATGCTGACCCAAGTGGTGGTGGCACTCGGTGCATCAGGCTGATGGTTACACTTCGTGATCTTGAAGGTCTCTTCCAACCTCAGTGAACGGATGTATCTATTCTATGATTCCAGTGGCGAGTAGAAGATGAAGAGTAAAGATCTTGGGGACAGAATATCCTTAAGGAGAGTGATCTTCTCCTTGCACTCTGCTTGAAGTCAGAAGCGCTGTAGACAATTGTAGTTTCGGGGTCAGGATTTTAAAGGAAATGAAATCAAACCATCTGAGCAGCTAAGCAGCCATCTGTCCACCTAGGTCAACTGACCACAGGTGAAACACACAGATCTGGTGGCCAACTACTCTGCAGGAAAGTGCAGAGTACAGGATGCATAAAAATAACAAAACAGTAGGCTAAAAAAAGAAAAGAAAAGAAAAGAAAAGAAAAGAAAAGAAAAGAAAAGAA